ATAGTGACACTCTTCCAAAGATGAAGAAGATGTGAATAAAGATGTAGAGACCTTAGAATATCAAGAAATATAGTGACACTCTTCCAAAGATGAAGAAGATGTGAATAAAGATGTAGAGACCTTAGAATATCACGAAATATATAGTGACACTCTTGCAAAGATGAAGAAGATGTGAATAAAGATGTAGAGACCTTAGAATATCACGAAATAAATAGTGACACTCTTGCAAAGATGAAGAAAGGCGCTACCGAAAACATCTAGGATATCGAGGATTTACTTGTGCATGATCAAGTTGTGCATGATGTAGTTGATGTGCATCATCTAGATCTGGTAGTTGTAGTACATGTAGTACTTGTACAAGAACATCTTCTGAGGAAGTAAATAATTGACTTCTTCCTTGGACAAAAGTGGGGCAATGATTGTCCAAGTTATAATAATTATAACTTCTTCAATGATGACAAAAGTGGGTCAATGATGCATGTTGGGTACCGGATTGATGTCTGTTGAGACCGTAAATGTACCCATCTTGACTGGTGAGGGATGCGTACTGCGACCAGGTGCATCCAGGTAGCACGTTTTCCGGCGAATCCGCTCGAAAACCTTTCCAGTCCGGATCTTGCCAACAGCCTACCAAGTCTTGGCACATTAGACATTAGTGAGTAGCGTTCTTCGATGATGATGTAGAAGTCATGAATCAGTCATCTTCAATTGCGTTGACTGAAGATGAGTAGAAGTCATGAATCAGTCAGAAGCCTTGAGTCATCATACTGCGTTCTTCTGATTGATTGATTGATTGATTGGTTGGTTGGTTGGTTGGCGTCCCAAATAGCACTCCTAGGCTCTAATGGCGGGACACGACAATTCCAAAAGTGTTTGTGTCACTAAGGATGGCCGTGGGACTAGAAAAGGATGTGGATGGGAGTGAATAATTCGTCAAGGATGGTCGTGAATTCGTCAAGGAGGCCCATTTTCGTCAAGGATGGTAGTGAAGATGAGTGCGCTCAAGGTAGTAAAGATGGGTGCACTCAAGGTGAGTTCGTGGAAAAGCCATAAGTGCAACGTATGGGTCACCGTCTGACCGCTAGGCGGCGCATCTGTGGTGGCAAAATAGCAATATGAACCATGAGGGGGCCACCAAAATAGATACAACTTCAAAAGTCTTTAACATAATCAAATTGCATGAAGGGATACACCTAGGCTATGAGGGAAAACAAATGACTTGCAACATAATCAACTTCTTGTGAGATATTGCTATAGAGGTGGGGGCTAGCAACTATAGTTCATTCCATATAGAAGTAGGGACCAAGCACTGCATCTGAAACATCTTCAAGCGCTGGCAGTTATAGTCTATATAATCACTAACTAATAATAACTAACTGGCTTTTCCAGTCTATAGAATTGCAGAGAGGTCAGCATTCACGACTATGCAATCGTCAGCAGTTGATAGTCGTCGACAAGAGCCATTTCTTTAGCCTTTGTCCTGTAGCGAAAACAAACGATTTTGAAGTCACAGAGCCTCACTAAATTAGCCTTTGTCCTGTGGCGAAGACTACAAACGACTTTATTGAAGTAGCAAACTGAGTCTCACTGACTCTCATTTTTAGTAGCGTCATGGTTAGGTTAGGTCTGGGCCTACTAGCAGCGAAGGACCAACGGAAAATGTTCATCTCAATCATTCACTGAAGAGGCTTATTCGCCTTAGTACGTTAC